GTTTCATTATGTGCCTAAAAACTTTTCTTTTCTGCTGCAGTGGAAGAGTACTTGTCATTAACTGCAGTTGAAAAGTAAGTAATTTGGCGCAATCATATTATTAAGTCCTTGTTCTAAAAAGTGATATCCTTGTTTACGGTTTTTCTTTATTTTTTTATGTGAGGTTCTTAACCTTGCTCCGACCACTATTAAAAGTTTAGCGGAACATGTACGTGTCGACGCTTAGGTACGAGGTCGTTTGCAGGCGCGCTGTAGTCCTGCATCTGAATAAGCCCTACGCTTCAGTGAGCAAAGCCCTTCCAAGTTCTGCAGATAACATTTGAATAGTAAATTGGACCATCTTAATTGGAAACTGCTGCATTCTGGCATTTCTCGTAAAAGCATTTTTAGAAGTCGTAAAGTAACTGCAGCTTGTCAGTAAAGAAAATGAGAAAAAGTCCAGGAGTTAGCCTGCCTTTTCTTTCACTATGCTGTGATGTTCATAAACATTTTTTCTTAATTATATCTTACAGTGTTTCTGAAGCGTGATCAAGCGTATTGGGTACGTTAGAATATATTATGAATTTTCTAAAGAGATGTTTGTTTATAATTTTTATGGGTTAGCTCTCTATTTTGCTTAGACTCAGTAGGTCCGTTGTACGATGTTTTGCTAGATCTACCAAGTAGTTGGAATTAAAAGGCATTTCGGAAAGGAACAGTCAGTAATTATTTGAACTTTTTCGAAAACAATTTATGGAAGAGTTTCTAGTTAAAATTTTGTTTTTCATTGGTTCGTCCAAAAGGGAGGTATTAGAAGTCAGAAATTTATCAAGTTTTAGTTCCGTTCTTTTCTGGAAGTTTCAAAGTATTTAGGTCAAAAACTGAACTGGCACACAATAGAGTTAGTGCGGGACTAAGTGGGTCTGAAGAGCTGCTCTTTAAAAACCTATATTCTTTTTGTACTGTACTGCGATTGGGAGGATGTTGTTAATATATGAAATAAATGTGGAAGGCACACTTTAAGATAACTTCATTATTGCTTGGAGAGAACGATGTAGGTTTCTCTGAAACTGTGACACGTAGACAGAGCATAGGTGGGAACCATCTGTAAAAGAAGAAGAGTAACCATGAACGCAGGAACCACATTTTGGAATGGACAGCGTAAATCGTTGTAACGTCGGAAGCTTTTTCTTTTTGAGATGATATTCAGATTTAGGGTTGAATGATTCAAACACAGATAGCTGTTCTGCTGCAGATGTCATTCTTGCCTTAATGGAGAAGAGATGGTCAATGCCACCTAATGTTGAACAGGTTTGCTGATTGGGTTCATACCTATAAATTGCGAGCAGAACTTGTAATATTCTGCTCAATTAATTGAAAGAATTTTTTCTATTCTTATCTTTTATACACTGTCAGTAAGAGTTGGCTGATAGTGTCACGCTGAGGTTGTAGAGGTTTTTGTTAAGACATTGAATTAGCGAATTGAAATGTAGTATTTATGTGCCTTTTGAATTTCTTTGAGGAGTAATTTATACGTACTTGTTTCCGTTTTTAATTTCAGCTGGATTATGAAAAAGAACTTATTTAAGGATTTGTACGAACTCTTCAATGTTTTCGTCACTACTTGGGATGAAGAATTGGTTAGGACAAAGGATGAAGGATTAGTTCTTTTAAAGGATTTGAAGGTTATACTGTTGCTAGATATCTTTATTTCCTTTTGAGTTTTTTCGTAACCGCTTTCCTTTTTAATACAGATTTATGGTTAAAAAATGTTACTAATTGATGAGACGGGCACGTATTGAGTAAAAAGACTTATTTGTTCTGAAATATAGTTGAGGCCTGACGGTTTTTCACGAATCATATTTTCTTGGTTTTTAGTTTCTTGTTATAGAGAGCAAAAAGTAATATTGGTTTCTTTAAGAAAATTGTTACTGATAGCACTTCTTTTGCAAAGACTGCGTTGCTTTCTCGAAAAGAATGCCAATAAATTCATGTGTTGTAGGAGGCAAAATTGTCAAAATGTGATTTTGAATTATACTTCATGAAATTTTTTGTTATTTGTGCAAGCTTCTCCTGTAAATTTTTTTTGTAATTTATGAGTACGTATTTTTAGTTTCGGATACTGAAATAGAAGTCTTAGAGTAGATCATAAAATTATATTGCTAATATTGCATACTGTCAAAATACCGCTTCTGATTTCAACTGATTTTTAATTTCTTTCGAGTTTGTTTCTGCTGTTGCTATTCTTGTCTTTCGTTGTAAAAGGCTTAAGTTTAGGTTTTTTTGCAAGAAAAAAGTAATTGCCGAACGCCGGAAAACAGTAGGTGTACAGCCGAATTGAAGGACCTTGTTGGAAGTTGTAGTCATAATAGTGTTCAAAAAGAAGCTTCTTGCTTGTTGAATACTGCTTCAACTGTAGATAAATCTGCTGTTGCGACTCTCGAATCTTCGGGAGAGGTCAGTGTTTGTAACAAGGAAGAATTACCAGCCAGTGTTATCAAAGACAGCGAATTATCAGTCCTACTGGAGGGTCAAAAGTTTGTAAAGAAACAAGACCCCAAATACAGTGTAAATCAGAACAATCAGTTTGCGGCAACACAATTATTTGGTATTCCAATCGAGCATGGTGTAAGCAGCATTTGGACTGATAATTTTGAAATTGATCCCCAGTTTAAGTCTGATATAGTATGCGGTAATTTATCGAAGTCGTTTAATATAACTACTGAGTCGAACGCGAATGGTCCTAAGTCGGCAAGATTAACGGTTACTGGAGAACGAAGACTTGATGCCCATGTTAATTATAAGAGTGTTTCATCTCCATCAAACAGACTTTTCTTTCAGCATATCAAGGTTTGTCATTATTTTACCAAATTGTTAAACGTTTGCTTTCCGTCTTCTGTATGTTTTCTCAAAGTTGTCATTTACTTCGCAAATTTTATTTTGTCCTTGTTTTACTTAACTGCTTTAAAAATAAGTATTTTTTTATATTTTTTGTGATTTTAGAATGTTATAGCGGAAGAAAAAAGGTTGAGGCTCCCATGTTCCGGTTTGTTGATTACTCAGTTTCAGTGCATGAACCCGTCCTGCCGTTATACGGTATATTTTGCCATGTGTTTCCAGTAGTAATGGGACATTTTATTGTGAATCACAATTACTTTTTGCTCTGGAATGTTGCTTAATATTTATTATTTAAAAGATTTTATTTGTGACCCCTACTTTTTCTGCAGAAGCTGAGGCAGGACAGGTTTTGTGGCTTATCACTCTCAATTCCAAAAGTGTTTCCCGATGCAGTGAGTTATACATAATTATCTTTTACTCTTTACCACTTATTTTCGAAGATTTCTGATCCTGAAAGGTGTAGGAAGAATTTTGTGTTTAGAGTCTTTTTGATCACAGTTTGAGACAGATGGTCGTGTCGTGACAACAACTTTTTGTTATCATTTTATACCAAATTTTGACTGTATATCCACCCCTGCATAAAGGACGGAAGTAGAATTGCAAAAAGACGTTTCATAGGAGATTTACATTAGCTTTCTGCACATGCGAGTCATTTCGTTATCAGTATCTCTCTTAAAAATTCAGCGTTATCTCTGGTTAGGGTTTTCATGGCTACTGCAACGTAATTTTCGATGAGAGGTTTAGTTAGCTTCATAAACGAATGGGGTAGAACTCATAAAAGGCAGGGTATTTTTTTAGTTCCTCTATTTCTTTTCATTTCAAATTTGTTTATTTGTTTATCTAATGCTTTCAAAATACCAAGCTCTTCTCCTTAGAAGAAAAGCTGAGGTGTGGAGATTCAATGACGGTGCTCGCCCATTTTTTCTACTGTTCTTTCTTAAGGTTAACTATTTAATTTGCTGAAGGGTATTTCTTCAAGAAATCGTTAATTTGTTGAACTTGGTGCCACAGATTTTAGTCGAAATGAAGTTTTGAAAAGCTCAAACAGTTGGCTTGTGAACTTTAACGTACTATCTAGACAACTGGTTCTTTGTCAAGTTTTTCTTCGTCGCTGCGCGAAATTTCTTGGAGCTTTCCAAATGGTTGCAACAAGCGTAAGTAATTTTGACCTGGATGGTTAACGCAGGCTCGAAGTTTAGCCAAAACTTTTTATTTAGATCCCACTCTGAATTTTGGTTTAGTTGAGATCGTTGTCTATGACTTTTTTTACTTTGTGGAACAGAAAGTTCTATGAAGAATTTTTTTTTTAATGCTTAACATTCTTTTTTACATAAAATTCATTTGTTTATGAATTTTGCTTTGTTCTGTTGGAATTATATAGTGTTGCATACCAGTCTGTGAAGCCTGTAACTCAAAGATACTAGCTTTCAGGAGGATTTAGGCTTCATAGTTCGAGTAAAGAAATTACAAGCTAATGATGAACTCTTCTTTATGTTGAAAAGTGTTAACAAATTGAAGGGTTGTTTCGAGGCGGAGTATTATTTTCTAAAAAAACTTCTCTTTTCCAAATTGGAGAGGTGGCTTACTAATAATGAAACTTACATGTTAAATTTCAAAAGTATGCAATATGAATTAGGAATGAAGTGTGCACAAAATTTTTTTTGATCACCAGTAGGAACTCCTCTGAAATCTGCATCCGAAAGCATCGCCTAAGTCTTCTTCAGCTGACTGTGATACTTCAGTACAGAGCTATAATTGAGCGTCTATTTCTTGGTATTTTGTCAACAAATAAACAAGATGGTGGGAAATAGTAGTTGGACTAAGATCGCTTATATATCGAATGAAGACAATTTCCTTCATTCTGTTAAGCTTGCTAATCTTATTTGTCGTTGTCTACGATGATCTCTTCTAAGTTAATACCGTCGAAGATTCTCTCAAACTAGTGATGATTATGTTCTTGGCAGTTTTAGAAGTAGAAATATTTTACCGTACCCTTTTGTTGAGATGCGCTGCTAAAATTTGTTGTGAATTGCATTACATTCTTGGCCTTGCCAGCTTAGTTTCAGTTTTCTGGACTTTATACTTTATAATTTAGAATGCTTTGTAAAACCAGATTTTAAGCAGTGCTTTTGATAAAGTGTTGAGCATATTTAATGGGTGTAATTGCGGTTTTTTTAAACTCATTGTTTTCACAGATTTTATTTTCATTACGTAAACCCTCTTCTGTTGGCTTTGTTTTCCTGTTACGACGCTTTTCTCTGTGAGCTACTTTTTTTTTTCAAAGACAAGACTTTTGCTTGCAATTGATATCTTTATTGAAAACTTATTGAGGCTTGGCATGTTTATTTTAGTGGCTTTCATTAGATGTACTCTTGCACAAATACTTTTGTTCCGAAATGATTCGCGATGCAAAATGCGATAAGTGCACTGAACGGAAAACTACTGCTATAAATGGTGTTGTCAAGAAACATGGATTTTGTAGGGTAAACATATTCAACTATCAGAAGTATATTTGTTTTTTTTCACAGTCGACTTTTAATTATAAGGTTTGAACTGCTTTATAGTTGCCGTCTCTCCTTGTTTTGCGCGTCGAACGGGTAATATATATGCCATCTGGCTACGTGTTGAAAAGAAACGATCGTTTTTCATTCCCTGAGATATTGGATGTTGAAAAGTTTTGCTTTTTTTCGAGACCTCAGGTATGGAAGTTGTTCGAAAAAAATTATTTTTTTTTAGTTTTGGGAGGCTATTTCCGCCAAATGTTAGTGTGTGGCATTGTTTGCTTATTTCTTTCATTCTCTTTCATTTCATTCTCGCTTCAACGGGGAGATTCATTTTTTGTCAAATAGAATTGGATTTTCTTAGTTTTTGGGGAGAATCCTTGTGGTGCACTATATCCAAATACAATGCGTCGCTTGAAGTTTTTCCTGCTTAGGTCAATTTTGCATTTTTAGGTTCCTAAGTTATATAATGGTACTATCGCCAATTCCTCATTTTTATTTTCGGACGCTGAAAACTTGGAAGATCTTGCAGCTTCTATAAGGTTGGCTTTTCATGACATTTAGTGATTAAAAATTTCTTCTGAAATACCTTACTTGGTTTTTTTCCGATGCATTTTTTTCAGCGCCTGTTCTTTGCGCTTTAAGTACCGATTAAGAGCTGTGTCAGTGCATATGGGAGAGCCTGAGTCAGGTCATTTTATCACTTATCGAAGAGGCATTGGTTCTGTTGGCGATACTGCCTGGTACAAAACTAGCGATTCACAAGTAAATGACCTCAAATTTCTATAAAATCCATTTTTTGCACTAATCAATGCAATTACTCGCTTCTCCTGTTCTCTGCAATCTGAGCTAGTCACTCTCTCTAACTGCCGCTCCAGGAGGAAGAACACTTGAACAGTTCTTTCCGAAGCATATTTATTTGCCCTCATCGCACTCGCCTCCCACTGAAAAAAGTGGAGAGCTGCCAAGTTCTATGGAGAGTTTTATGCCTGAAGAGCATGTTGCAGCTGATTTAGTCCCTTTTAAGTGTTTGCATCTTTGAGCATTTGGAAGACTTAAGAAAGATGCCAGGGGTTTAATTGAAGAAGGAGTTGGGAAATAAAGCTTCGAGATTTAAAGTTCGGCTTTGTAAGCAATGCTGTGTAAGCATAACTTTCGTTCTTTTACTGAAACTGCATCTATTTCATTTTTGAATAAAATTTACAGATTCATCTTCAATTCCTAAAAAAAAACGCGCATTATTGAAACGCTAACTCTTGGTCTATTTTCAAGGTATTGCAGTTTCTTCATCATATTTTAAGTTTAATTTCTGTTGTAATGACTGGTGATTCTAGTTTTTTGCTTTTTTTTTCTTACTTTGAGTAGTCATGTTACTGTTTCTGGAGGCAGTCTGTCGTTTTACTTTCCTATTCTGACCTGCGTCTCTTTTTCTGTTTATTTACATAAAAATCACCGAAAAATGATGATACGAAAAAACTTCCTGGGCCTGGACTCCAGCAACAGAAGAAAATTTCAAAGATGATGAGCTTCACGGGAAATACTGATGGTACAAGGAAAAAGTCAGCAGCTGTGTTGTCAGAATGAAGGAATAATCGTTTTTAGATTGAAAGATGGAGATAAAAGCAGTAAATTGCTCCCGAAGTTATTTTGAAACCTTTCGCTAAGAATTTTCGTTCGCAACTTTTCTGCAACTCTTATATCACTTACTGGCAGTATTGTACATTAGGAACAACATCTTGTAAAAATTCTAGAAGTCTTGCATGAAATTTCAACCACGCATTATCTGCATGCTCCTACAGGCGCTTTTTTGCGTTGTTTTCCAGTTCCATTCGTATCTGAGTAAGCGTCTTTCTTTGTTACTCGTTCTTCCTTCTCTTCTCTTTCTGCACGTTTTGTGGAAAGGATAAGAGTATTCCCAAGAACAAACTACCTATAACAGGCAGGTCATCTTTATCTTTGTACATTTGACCATGTACAACAAATCATCTTTTTTTTAAATGGCTTTTTAGGTGGTCTTTCACGTTCATGCTATTTGAACTCAGCTGTGTTTCTGCTACATTTTTTAGTGTCTCTCATTCAGTGCATTATAACGATTAATTTTTTAAGGTTACTCGTGTGCCGTTCTCTGAAGTTGCGTCTTGCGAGGCATATATGCTGTATTACGACAAGATTTTATCGCTAAGTTCTACGTTTTAAAAGTTTTGTGTAGATGGTGAGCTTTTTCATAATAACTTTTCTAGTGCTTTGTAAAATTTGTGAGACATCTGTGGACATTTTAGTTCTTGAGAATTTGATTTTATCACTGCTCAAATTTTCTATACAGGTGTTTGAAACGATGTTTTAGTTTCTAATTACAAAAATGATTTTTTCGTCTCATATAGGAGCAGAATTTTTCAAGATGTTACTTATTCAGTCTGTGAATGGTGTCTCTTTTTCGCCCAATTTTTAGTTCTTAAGTTAGTTTTTAATTGTGAGGACAGATTTTCATGTTTCATTGCATTTTTCTTAAGAGATGCTTTCGTGTTTCATTACTGTTTAATTTTTGATGGCATTTACTTTGTTATATTTAAATTTTATAGAAAAATTTCTAGAACTGTTTGATTCAGAAACGGGTGGTTGCATTTAAGTGATAATCTTCATTAGAATACTGGTATTCTTTAACTTTATTGGATACTGCTTCGTTTTATATGTACAGTGTATTACTTAATATGCATCAGGACGTTTTATTCCTCTCACTTGGTTTTTCTCATTTATGTCGATTTGTTGTTAATTTTGGTGGAAATTGTTGATTTAAATGTTTTTATGATGATACGGTTCAATAAAAATTTTTTAAGCTGTGTAAGATGTCCTTCGGTTTCTTCACCTTGTACTCTTCGCCTATCGTAGTGCTGGATTCTCCAAGATAGATTTCTTTAAAAATTTTTTCCAAATAAGGTGTCGTGGGAAAGGGACCTCTTGTTTTACGTGGCGTCTTTTGTGCTTTTTTTTTTTACCTGTATGTCAGCTACTGTAATAAGAAACAAATGACGAGTGGGTGTCTTTTAGCTTTATCCCAAAGTGTTGGGGATGGAGAGTTTGCCTGAACAGTTCGATGTCGTCATTTTGGGGACAGGTTTACCTGAATCGATTATCGCAGCAGCCTGTGCTAGGGCAGGGTTTTCAGTTCTTCATTTGGACAGGTGACTCATTTTCCGGAGTACTTCTGGTAGGTTGCCGGGTGGAAGCGTGTTAATTTTGGTAGATGGAAGCTGGTGTGTTACTAGTCGGTTCTAAATTTCACTGGCATGAAGCCGTTACTACGAATTTAGAGACAGTTCTACAATTAAAGAATTACAGGAACGATTTTTACGGTGGGAAGTGGGCGTCCTTCAACTTGCACAGCATTTATGACTGGTCGAAAAGGTTGCGGACCACTGGTACAGTCAGTGACGTTGTGATAGATAAAAGGCTTCTGAAAGAAAATGAGGAGTTACTTGTTGTTAATGAAGTAGAGGACGTATCTGATGTCCGTTTGGAGTGGCATATAGAGTAGGGTTTTTTGTTTTAGTCAACGCTACTTTTCTCATACTTCGTAAGGGTCATGAAGTGCAATTTTTAAAATGGTCATATTTATATTTGAAGGGTCAATTTTCGTAAGCTCTTTGCTTAGATTAAGGAATTCAACGCTTTACAACTAAAGTTTTATATGGCGCACTATTTACATGTTTCAGTATAGCGCCCGGTCATTAACTTTTCTGTAATTACAGCGAGCGTTCAGGATGTGCCAATGCTAATGACATTCTCCTAAAGGAAAGAATTGAGAAGGATTGGCGCCTTTACAACATCGATCTTTTACCTAAAGTCCTTTTCTTTTCGCGAAAAAGAGAACTTTTTTTGACCTTGTCATCTCTTTTACCCACGCAAAATATTTTCGTTTTTTTTTTTTCATTTGGTACAAAAATATTGAGTTATTAGTACTGCTCCCGGAGAAACCTACTTTTATTTGACGAGAAACTCATTTAGTTACTTCTTTCTCGAGGGGAAATGGTGCAGCTGTTATGTGATTCTTCGGTGTCTAAGTACTGCCAGTTCAAATGTGTCGATCGGTTACTCTGTTATTACAATGAGAAGCAACGTAATGTAGATGATTATGAGCAGGATTTGCATGTGGTTCCTTGTTCTAGGGCCGAGATTTTCCAAACTAGTGAGCTGTCGTAAGTTTTATCTGATTTAAAAGTACATTTTCAATTTATTGAAAATATTCAAGAGCTATTTCACTTCTGCAGTTTTGGGATTTTTTACAATATTATCATCTAAGAGTTAGCGAATCAGGAAAACCTGCTAGCTTTTACAGCACTATCGACTTTTTCTACGTTTCATCGTCAGGATAAGGACTTTTGCAAAATCCTTCCAGTTTCTAAATGTTATTTGTTCACTCATAATGACTTCCAGTAGTACGGAATAGCTAATCTAAAATTCTTGTACTTTGCAAATATGACCTGCATTAGAAAGAAATAGTTTATTTCACTCCATTATATACAGAAATTAAAGTGGAACAGCAGGAAGGGTGGCTGCAGAATGTCACATGAGTTGGCTTTTGGTGGCCCTCAGCGGTTCTAGTGAGAAGCATCAAGGTCTTTTCTACTGCGACGTTTTGTTCTCAAAGCGCAGTTTATGCTTCTGATTTCACTCCTTTGTTACTGCCGATGACGTAAGCAGCACGGGCAAATGGTGCATATGCTGGAATTGCTGCAACAGCTGGAGCAGGATATACGGGAGCTGGTGCTGCAGCTACAGCTGCTACCGGGGCGCGTAGCACTGGAAGTGGAGCAGCAGGAGCGACTACTGGTGCAGGTGCAGC